TTCCCCAGGTAGGCGGGCGCCCGCCGCTGCCCTCCCCGTCTCCTCCGCACCCGGGCTGAGGCTTAAAGCGACAGGGCCACCCGGCGCCCAATTTCTTCCTCCTCTCAGGAACAAGAAGAGAAAGATCCAGCAGCCCTCCTAGGCTTCCTGAGTTAGAAAGGGCATTTGTCTCCTGTTTTTCCGTCCTGAATGTCTGACCCCCAGTTCTTAGAGACCGAAGTCACCCAGAAGCACCCTGCCAGACCTTGTTCACAGAGAAGCAGAAGGCAGATGTATGCACATTTCTTGCTGGACAACGCTTGTTGCCATGTCTGTTTTAGGGCGGAGAGAAGAAATCACTAAAACCCCGAAGTCTGGATTGCTGCGACCCTGGGCTCTTGGTGTCAGAAAGCTGAGGACCCTGAGTGAACCTCTTCACCTGTCTGGGTTTTGCAGGTGCCAATGCTGACCTCCGGGGGTCGTGATGAGGACTAAAAGGGCAGCGCATGTCATACACCTAGCCCAGTGCCTGGGATGGAGGGCTGCCCCCTGCTCAGGTCAGGAAGTAATGGCTCATCTACTCTCCTTTGCTTCCAGAGTTCAACAACCCTGCACATCCCTTCAGGGGCCACCCCACGGGCTGGTGACCCCACAGAAAGTGTCAGGTGATTGCCCTATGGACCGGAGAAGGGGCCCAGGGCAAAGGATTTTTCCACCAATCTGGCTCCAGGCCAGAGAAAATCCACTCTTCCCAGATGGTGTTTATCAAGACAGAAGAACAATAACAGGGGCGTGCAAAAAGGAACAAACATCCCAGAGGAAGTAACAGTTCCAAGGGGGAAATGTCAGCTTCTCTGACAAATGCTTTTTTAAAGGTTCTAGTAAATTTGCGACCTCTACAGCGTTGTGAGACACTCTAGTGTCATTTATTATGAAATCTGATTCCCAATAAGATGAGATTATTACTATCTTCTGCAGACCTGAATTTTGGTGGACAGCAGCAGCCTGCTTTCCCGGAGAATGTGGCTGCCCACTCCTTACCATCCTTAGAAAAGCTACCATGTAGCCAAGCGGAGGTAGGTCGGAATTTGTGATCTATCCTTGAGCCGTCCAGTAGAGTAGCCACTGACCACAGGTGGTTCTTGAACACCTGAGATGTGGCTGGTCTGAACTGAGATGTGATATAAAAGTAAAAAAACTCGCCGGATTTCAAAGACTTATTGTGAAAGAAAGAATGTAGACATTTCCTTAGTAATTTTATATACTGATGACATGTTGAAATAATGTTTGGGATATACTGAGTTAAATTTTTAAAACTGATAAAATCAATTTCGCCTGTTTTTCTCTTTTAATTTGTCTAACAGGAAAATTTTTTTAATTTTATGTTTTATTGACGTGTAGTTGATTGACAACGTTTAGAAAATTTTCAATTATCTTGACACAACATTGTAAATTGACTATAACTCAATAAATAAAAAAAAGAAAAATTTGAATTACCAATGTGATTCAAATTGTATTTCTAGTAGACACGCAGATCTATACCTTAATATTTATGTGACCTTGGACAGATTTATGTAACATCCCTAAGCCTCAGTCATCTCATTGTCTGTCCTTGGCACTTAAAAAAACCCTCAGGAAATGGTGGCTTTTGTGATCACTATTATAAAGAATTCCAGATACTGAGTGAATTGGTGGGTAGGGAAACATGAGAGGTACCAAGAAACAAAAGGCCAGAGTAGGATGTTTGAGGAGAGCAGGAAGAAGTGGCAGAGGATTCCCAGGGTGGGGAGGAGAGTTATGACACTTGAGGGGTCACTGGGGTCTGCTACGCCACTGCAAGGCTTTGACATACATTGGTGTCCCTGAGGGAGCGGACCCTTGGCCTAGACCCAGCAACCATCAGGGAGATTCCAAAGTGCGTACACTTGGGCCTGCAACCGGATAATCTCATCTTCACCATATAGAATGGCTGCAGGCTTGGCCTCACCTGTAGGAACATTACAATGTTCGCGTTTGTAGAAAACCACCTTGCTAACAGCCTCGCAAGGTGAGAGATTCGGTAAGGCACCGAATGATGTGCTGTGAGCAGAAATAGTGCTGTGGGCAGGGAACAAGAAAGGAACAAAAGTCCCTGATTTATTTACAGTCAAGGAAAGCTCTATCCCAGAAGTGGGATGCCAATCACTTCGTAAGGAAAAGCTGCTAGGTGGTGGGAGCTGCAGCCAAAGAAGCAACCGCTTTGTGATGAAGCGTGTTCTCCATCCCTGCGTGATCAGAAGATCTGGGCATCAGATCTCCTGCTCCCTGGCTGTGGAGTCTCAGGCAAGCCACTTCCCTTGGGGAGCCTCAGTTTCCTCATCTGCAAAATGGGAATAAGAATGAAAGCTGTTTTGAGGGGTTATTAGTAGGATTAAATGGTACGGGTGTACATTTCTACATTTCTGCTAAAGCACTTTACAAATGAAAAAGGAGACTAATAGAACAAATCGAATGAGGAAATAGGAGAAAAGGAATATGATCAGCCTGCAAAGCCACCAGGCAAACTTTAGGGCACATCGGCATGTATCCCAGTCTTATTTATAATCTAAGTGCAAAAAGGCTCCTTGTACCTCTCAGGGAAAAGGCTAGAGAACAAGGAAGAAGCAGATTCAGGAGACTCAAGTGGAATTGCTCCCTGAAGGATCGTAAAGCTCTGACCACTGCCAAGATCTCTTTTGTCTCCAAACCCCCCTTGATAGACTGTCATGCCACTGGCCACCCCATCTGTGACACCGTCACCCCCATCTCTCTCAGTGTGCATCCTTCCTTTCTGACTGTGCCCTTGGAACTTGCATGTTCTGCCCTTAGCCATCTTCTGATTCCCATCTCTCTCCTAGAGCAGTAGTTCTCTATGGGGTTGGTTTTGTCCTCCAGGGGACATTTGACAATGTCTGGAAATATTTTTGATTGACACAACTCGAGGGGAAGGGTGTGCTACTGGAATCTAGTAGGTAGAGGCCAGGGATGCTAAACTTCCCACAATGCAAAGGACAGCCTCCGCCCTCCCCTACCTGCCAATGACAAAGAATACACAGATCCAAATGTCAATAGTGCCAAGGTTGAGAAACCCTGGTCTCCCTAGGGAAGTGCAATCAATGCCTTTACAGTTTCAACAGCCATTTATGGACAATCCGCCAATCTGTACCTCTCTCTCCATTGCCATTGCTGCCTCTCCAGTGCCCTGGACAGTCCATAGATACATCCCACAGCCAAACCAAACCCTTTATCGTTTTCCTATGTTCCTCCTCCTGGATAGCACTTCCATCCTGCCAGTTTCCCAAGCTAGGAACCCCAAAGCGATCCTAAACAGACGACGGAGCATCACTAAGTCTTGGTGGTGTCTTTCAAATCCACCTCCCTCCTTTCCACACCAGCTCCTGCTTCCTAGGTAATGCCAGCACGATCCCTTCTCTGGACATTTCCATCCACCTCCAAACTAACCTTTCTTTTCCCATCCATTTCTTGTGAGGCTGCTTGTTATCTTCCCCAAACATCGAGTATGTTCCACACTGCCCTCAGGGTAAAGTCCAAACTCCTTACCTTGACATTCCAAGATTCTTCTCAACCTGCATTTTGAAGCCTGCCTTTCATGAGACTCACCCCCTAGCCCTTCAGTTATACTAAATTACACGCCCTTCTGCAAACACACCATCCCCTTTTATATCTTTGCTTAAGTGGACTTGTCTCACGATGAGTGAATATCCTGCTTCATTCATCACTGCCTGTGGAAAGTCTATTTGTTTTTAAGACATTGCTTCCATGAAGCCTTCCAGATTTCCCCACTGAAGTTAACTTCTTCCTCATCTGATCACCATCACACTGTGTCTTTTATAGAACCTATAATATGCTTTGCCACTAACTGCATACACACTTGACTCCCCTGAGACTCTAAGTTCTGTAAAGGCAGGGGCTGTGTCTTTACTTTGGTACCCCTCATAGAAAAGAATATATATCCTGCACACAGTAGGTACTCACTAAATGTTTGGGGTATTGGACTGAGAGATCTGAAAGAGGGCTTCTTTCTCTATAGTGCAGACAGAAAGAAAATTGTATTAAAAAAGACCCATGAAGAAATACCTTTTGTAAATTTTGGACTATTTTATGTAGAAATGAATGCTAAATGCTATGAGTCTCTTTATATTGGTCCAAAAAGGATAAACTGGAAATTAACCCCTTGAACAAAAATAAGTTAAAAGCATGGGATGAAAAGGTGTGAAGCTAGCATAGCTCTTTCATTAGCTGATTTCTTACTCGGAATGTTCTCAGTTCACCCACGACTATTAAGAACTTTTGATTTCTCTCTCTCCTGTAAAAGTTGTACTCGTTCTTTAAAGCCCATGTTTTCAAAAAATTTCCTGATTTCTCCAGTGTAATTCATTTCTTCCTCATAGCACTTTGAACCTTACTTAATCCTTTTAACTTCCTATATTCTATTATTATTCTATTATTTCTATATTCTTTTTATTATTATACTTCTACAGGACAGAGGCCATGACTTACTCATTTGTTTCCTCCTCTGTAACTTGTTCAATTCTTGGCACATAATAGACCATAAACGCTGAACTTAATAGAATCGAGTAATTTTAAGTGCTCCTGGAAGAGTAGCCCAGAATTCCCAACCCACCCTGAATTCACTTGGACTGGGATTTGACAGTGGATTAAGAGGTCTACACCCTAAACAGGTGACTCGGCCCAACTTGACCTAGAAGTGAGCCAGACCCTCACCCTCAGGAACTCTGTTAGCCCAGTGGTTCCACTTGCCAAACATATCTGTGCCCAATAATTGAACTCTTGACACTACGGTACAGATGTTTTTACTGCTTCGTGTGAAGAAATGGGATATATGCACACAGCCCTTCTGCATACCCACGTGCGATGGCTGATCACAGTTGTTTTAAGAAAAACCACTTGTGCAATTAAACTGTAAGCTCAACCAACCTTTGTTTTTCAATCAATAGACTTTATTTATTTATTTTTAGTAATACAGTCAGTTCCCATACACCACTTCATGCTCTCCCAGTTCTCCTATTACTAACATCTTGCTTTTTTTTTTTTGGATTTCAACCAATTTAATATGTATGCATTTTTGTATATAATTCTATAAAATGTCATCACATGTATAGATTTGTGTAACAACCATCACATTAAGGATACAGAATTTTCCCATCACCCACCCCAAATCTCACTAACATCTTACGTTAGTGTGGCACATTTGTTACAATTGATGGGCTAATATTATTAACAAAGTTCATAGTTTATTTTAGGGTTCACTCTTTATATTATAGATTCTATGGGTTTTGACAAATATATGACATGAATTCACCATGACATTACTACAGTATCGTACAGAACAATTTCACTTCTCTAAAAAAATTCCAGTGCTCCTCCTATTCATCCTTCCCTTCCTTCCCCCAGTCCCTGGCGACTACCAATCTTGTTGCTATCTCCATAGTTTTGCCTTTTCCAGGATATCACGCAGTTTGGATCACACAGCCATTTCAGATTGCTTTCTTCAACTTAGCAATATGCACTTAAGTTTCCTCCATGTCTTTTTGCAGCTTGATAGCACATTTCATTTGATCACTGAATATTCCATCGTATGGATGTGCCAGTTTGCTTTATCCATTCACCTACTGAAGGGCATCTTGATTGCTTCCAAGTATGGGCAATTATGAATACTACTGCTGTATATTCACGTGCAGGTTTTGTGTGGACAGAAGTTTTCAATTCATTTGGGTAAATACTATGGAGCACTATAGCTGGATCATACAATTAGTGTACATTTAGCTTTGTAAGAAACTGTCAAGCTGTCTTCCAAAATGGCTGTACCATTTTGCATTCCCACCAGCAACAAAGCAGAGTTTCTGTTGCTCCACATCCTTGCCAGCATGTTGTCAGTGCCATGGATTTCAACCATTCTAATAGGTATCTCATTGTTTTAATTTGCACCCCCCCCAACACAAATAAGATGTCAAGCATCTTAGTTTAGTTTTTTTTTTCTAAAAGAAGTACTATTTTACCTGAAAGGACATTGGACAAACTGTGGTTATTCAAACTGGTGCATTTGGCAGGTATTTTCTCAAAAATAAAAGTTGCTGGTTCATTCAAGGAAAACAATAGACAGTATTTGTTGCCAATGATAAAATTTGAGCTTTCAAGTGAAAATTAGAATTTTAGAAAACTTCTATCTGCCACTGGCAGCTTCCCGACATTTAAGAGACTCTGCATTTAGAAGAGCTGTATAACTCAGTGAACCAGTGTTTTCCAAATAACCATATGTATGATTTTACAAAATCGTGTGTGAGTAAATGGGTCATTCAAAGCGCAAGATATACCAATGATTTTAATGTAATAGAGCATAAAGTTCATTGATATGATTTCTGATTCCACATCTGACTAACCTTTAAAAAAATGACCACTTGTAAATTTAGGTGTTATACCAAAGAATATCCATAGTTATCTAAATAGATCATAAAAGTGCTTATTCCAACTAAGTATCTGAGAGGCCAGATTTCCTTCATATACTTCAATCAGTACCACCTCACAACAGAGAGAATGCAGAAGCAGGGATGAGAATCTAGCTTTCTTCAAGTAAGCCAGACATTAGAAAGATCTGCATGTGAAACAATACTCCTCATTTAATTTTCTGCATGCAAAATATACTTTTTTCATAAAAATGTTATGTAAACGTGTAATGCGTTTATTACTTTTTTTCTTTTGCGTCAACACGTATTTTAAACATTTCTGTACATTTCCAATACAGTAAATATGGAAAAATATAACCCATATAAATAAAAACTCTTTGGGTTCTCAATAAAGTGTGTAGCAGTTATGAGACTGAAAAATATGAGAACTGCTGCTCTAAGATGCCTTCCTCTGATCCTGCTGGCCAATCCCACTGCAGAGAATTAGATGTTACAACGCTGTTCCAGATTTCACCTTTCTGGCTGTGGAGAAAAGGGAACCCTCCTCCACTGATGGTGGGAATACGTTTGGTGCAGCCACTGTGGAAAACAGTATGGAGATT